GTAAAGCGTTTATGGCCGCCTGGGCTTCTGCGTGCGAGGAGTATTTCACAAAAGCACACCCTGGAAAGAAAAGGAGAGGGAACAGACTTTAAGAATGAGGCTCAAGTTGAATGGAAAGAGCAGGAATTTTTCCATTCCTTCCCCAAACACTTCACATGACTTTCCTTCCTCTGTCCTTCACTTTAGAGCAGTATTGGTTAACTTGTCACAGGGGATTAACAAGCCAGACAGTTTTAGTTTCTCCCAGTTTCTCATTTCCCCTTTCTTAAGTTCAGGCTATACCATTTCCATAGCATGTGTGTGTGTGTGTGTAATACTATACTATACCATACTATACTATGTAATAATATATAATAATATAAAGTTTCCACAGAAATGCGTGTGCCTTTTGCAGGCTCAGTTTTTCTAATATATGCATTTATTTTTGTATGGCATTTTATTAAATGCAGATAGTGTTTCCAAACAGTGTTGCTTGATAAAATGTTGGGTGGGGAATTCCACCCAATAATATATGCATATTTGTATCCCTTCCCGATATGCATATTTTTGCTTGGAGAACTCTATCTCAACATTGTGAAAAAGGGTCAAAATTCTACTGTGCCCCTTGATTCGGAAGGTCAGAAGGGAGATAATAAGGAATCAGAGTACATCGCTGTCGATGTGGTTCATACATTGACGTGGTGCAGGAGGGAAATTGGCGTTCACTCATTGCTTTTTAATGCAAAAGTAATTATTTAGGAACTCTTTCCTGAATGGGGGTGGCCACCAGAGTGACAGACTAAATTTAAACAGCTGCGGGGAGAACGGTTTAATGAATAGTTAAGAAATCACCAGAAAGATTGAATTTTCAGAACAATTTAATGTCATTTTCCTCCTCCTTCCTTTTCTACTACTCACTGATGATTTCTCATGTGAACAAAGCCACTGGCTTAGAGAAACACAGTGTGGCAGTGTAGACGCTCTAGGTGAGGATCTGAATGCTGTAAGAAATGTTATTCAGGCAGAAAAGCTTCTGGTCTCAGGGACTGTGTATCACAGGACGGCCCTACCATTTGGCAGAACGAGGCAGTGGCCTCAAGCAGCAAATGCTGAAGGATTGAGCTCATTGACTTTCTTGAAAGTTAGACAGGAGATCAATGTTTATGCAAAGGTCAACTGCCTGTACAATCCTCTTCTGCTCATGGAGGTATTTGACTGATTGATTGATTTAAAATATTTGAATCCATCAAATACCGCTTAAAGAAATAACATTGTCTCCTGTCTCAGATCAGTTTACGGGGAAATTCAAGCAATCAGATAGCAAATTAAAACAATGGATTAAAGGACACCTTTAAGCACTTTGTAAGATGCACAAAATACAAGAAGCAATGCAAATAAAACTGGGCACAGGGTTGAGTTATTAGTGAGACCACCTATCTCTCATCATTTCAGCCCAATCCCACAAGAACAGGCCTGTTCCAGGTCTGCTGTATTAAACAATGTCATCTATGGGACCCATCACCTTCCATAATGGCTCTAACTCTGCCAACCTTCCCTATGGTGTTGAAGACCTGCTTTTTCCCCTGGGGATTGGGCATATGCCAATCTTTAAGGGGTTTACTAGACAGAGATGTGGGGTGGCCTCGGGCATGGTAGGTTTTCAATATTTCTGCTTGAAATCTTGGTTGCATTTAACCTGATGTTAGCCAGTCACAATTACATTTCTGCAATTTCACAGCAGCATTAGCATACTGTAAAAGAGCTAGCAATTTTTTTTAAGTCTTTGCCTGAGGCTGAAAGGACATTAAAGACAGAGCCATGGGAATTTGCTGTGTCATTCCAAAATTGAGGGCTACCATTGAAAACATTACTCTTGGGTTACTGACTGTAGGATGCCAGCAAGGTATTTTATCCATATATTAGGGTACAAGTGGGATACTTTACGGTAGAGAGTATGGAAAATGTCCTTGATGGAAATAAGCAAGAACGGTTACCTAGGTAAAGAGGGATGAAACACTTTTTAAGCCCCAAGACATGAGATAATATTCAGAAATGGCTCAGGCTGATCTCATCACACTTGCACGATTCTGTTATTATAGCCATCACAATAACAGTAGTTTTAGTTTTCCTGTGGAGTTGATTTCCTGATCTGGTCTACGTAGTGGGGCTGACATCTACCAATAGCAGAAGTGGAGAGATCTGAGTTACTTGAGAGGCCACTTATCTCCTGTATATCACCCTAGCTGATTCAATCTGACAGGGCTGGCATGCTTTGGGTTCCTTGGATCAAACAGTGCCATCTTATTGGGACCCCAAACGCGTGCCTTCTCTGTTGCACCTGAGATCCAGGTGAGTTCCACCCTGATGACTTTCTGGAGGTCCTTAAAGACCTGGCTGTTCTCCTGGGCTCTAGGCTAGGGTGGTTGGAGCCCCTGCTGGGCATATGATGTATTTCTTATTGCTGGTCGGTTTTGCCATCTCGTGCCTTGTTTTATGTTCTGCTTTGATTGTATACTTGTTATTTTGTTTTTATGCTGTGAGCTGCCCAGAGTCAGTAGGAGTCAAGCGGTGTCCCAAGTTGAATAAAATCAATCAATCAATCAATCAATCAATCAATCAATCAGTCAATCAATCAATCAATCCAAATGGGTCAGGCCACCTTTCAGCAAGTATATAACTCACATGGTGGTTTTGCACTTAGGCACGCACTCTCCCTTCAATCTGTCACACACATGTACACATATT